GTGACTTGCATTTTGCAAATCCACCGTAGTATAATGATTAAATCAAGTGCAAGGCAGGGAAGATGAAGTCTCCCTGGTTTTGAAGCTAGATTTATGCAGTGTGAACCCATTATTAAAGCTGGCAATTGGATTATGCTGTGCAGTTTGATCCATGCCATGAATCGCTGACACAGAAAAACTAATTAGTCTCAAAATCTACAAATCAGTTTAACTTTTCCCATGTTTGAAATCATGAGATGGTTCTGAGTTACACTACCTCTTGGGGAGTCATTTGCCCCAGTGAACGATAACTGGCACCTTCTGTTTATCTGGTTAGAACAACAGTGACCGATCAGTGAAGTTATCCTCCCCATTGTAGCAGATTGAATGGTAAAAAAAGGAGACTCGCTGGTTAGGCTTGATACTTTTTGCCTCTGAGGATGTGGCTTTAATTCCCGTATCTGCTCCAGACTTTGCAGGTATGTGCAAGACACTTCCATACAGAGATGTCCTGTTACTTTGGGCACATTGGCTCCAGAACTTAGTCATACAGCCACATTTACTGTGCCAGGTTACTAAGTTTTCAGAGAAGATAGAAGAGCTTAATCACGACTATCCTGCTCCTAGTTCTTCACAGGCACACACAGAGCTAACACAGGTTCTTACTACACAATCCAATCCTGTCTTGTTCTGTATAGACACATCTTTTGTGTGACTTGGGCATAACTTAAGGCTCAATTGACAAAAGGAACTGGGCACTGGGATATGTTGCAACACCTGGCTGCCTAAAGCAGAATCCAGAGCCATATATTAGGTAGGTACCTAAACTCTCTGAAAAATGGGCAAGGAGGGTAACGTGCTTCATAATGATGTTCATAACACCCAGCATGACCTGAGTAGGGACCTTCCTAAGCTAGAAGTCAAAAATATTGAGGAAAATACACACCATAAGTGATGTCCCTCTTTAGGCTTACCATCTGATTTAGAAATCTGACCAATGTCCTGGTCTTAAACATCTAACCTGATTCCTACAAAAGGCAGTGTCTACTTTCTGGTAAATCTCTTCTGTAGGAGAAGGGGGGGGTGGTAGCCTTTTATGCAGTACTGTACTGATGAGAGCCACAAGTCACAATGTGGACCACATAAACCCATGTCTCTCTTCTGCCTGGGGACAGTTCATACCCACATCTCCCCCCTCCCTGAAATGTGCCCTAAACATTTGACTGCTCTTCTGTCAAATGTCATTGGCAGAATGGGGAGAGGAGCATATTCATTTTCTGTTATTTCACTTTACATACAATAATTAAATATTCATTGGCCTGGAGAGAGCAAGACAGAGAGAGAGTAAGTATGCCTCTCTAGCTGAGTGGTTTGAGCATTCACTTAGGAAACAGCAGAGGATTGTTTATATATTCTTTCTGATTACTACTTAATATCAAGTATGGGTATATACAGGCATTGCATTTAGATTGACCTAACCAAGGTTAGGTTGATCTAAATGCCCAATTGTACAGGTGTGAAGAGGACTTAAATCATACAACAATGGATGGTGTGCCCAATCTAAGTTAGTTCACCTGAGTAAATGCTCTACCTTAGACTGAGATCTGGTTAACCTGATTGAAGAAAGGGTTTGAATCTCATGAGTGCCTGTACACATTTGCTGCAGAGCCCCTGAAATGCCCTTTTTCCACCCTCAGACCCTGACTAGTAGGGCTGTGCAAAGCTTCAGGTGGTGGTTTGATTAGGAGGAGATTCAGCCTGATTTGGTGTCTGAATCTCTGAATCCTCATCAAATCAGGGGACCAACTTAAAGGTACAAATTATTCAAAGTTCTCTGAATCTTTGGAAAAGATTTGTAGAGCTTTGATGATTTGGGCAGTACCCAGTGGCTGCAGCAGGGAGCTGCAGCCAACTCCAAGCTGGTAAGTACTAGAGGTGGGGAAGAGGGGACCATGGGAGAATCCTTGCCAGCCCCCCCCTGACCCCCCACCCTG